TCCTATGCTAAAAACATTTTTTCAGTAGTTGAGTATATTATTTTCCTGACAAAATGAAGAGATTTCTTGTCCTGTTGCCAGATGCATGGCACAAATAACTGAAGAGTTAAAATCACTGTATCATTATGGGAAACAGTCATTTGCATGAATGAGAGAAACCGGACATTCATAAATTCAAAATCTCTCCCTTTCTCATAAATCATTGTCAATTTGATTTCTAGTTAAAGATGGGGTGGAATACTTCAGAATACATAGCAGCCCTAAAGAAAGAGAGATTTCTGCCATTTTCTGAAGGACTCCAGTAAAATTTATGCGAGGATTTGTCTCCTGAGTATTGGTCAGAAATTCAGATTAAATCCCTCTCAATCCCTTTGGAAACGGTAACAGTTATTGCTATTCCTCTTAAGGCATATTGAACACTTTTTAACTTCAATACTCACTTCTTCGAGAACAAATCTAATCTGTGCCTTATGGATTAGAGCTATTCAATTTTGCTTACTAGATAACCAGTTGAAATATAAGAAAATGTTGTAATAAACTTTCTGTATAAGCTTCAAAACAGAAAGGAATACACAGATATTTAAATAATCTCTAATCAAACAACATGCCCTGGAAAGATCTATGATTCAGGTTTTACACTGGAATATAGTAGAAACTCATAACCTGATGGAATCCTCACACACAATATTTGGAAATCCCCCCCAAACTGATAAAACGAAAATCTTAGAATCTTAACTAAGATGCTATCTTTGCAAATAATGTTTCCACAGGGCATGAAGCATTACTTATTTTGAAATGATTCAAGAGGATATGAATATCCCAATATGCCAACTACCTAGGAATGACAAGACTGTTAAAATGAGTTGTCCTGAAATCTAAGAATATTCAGAACACAATTTAGTCTCTGGAAAACCAGCTTAATGCAAAAGCATACATTTTCAAAGTTGAAGTCTCAAGACTTAGTTAAATATGGATAAAAACAGTCCAGAACTAATGTAGGACAAATCTGAAGTAAGATGTGTGAAGAATTTGAAATCAGATTTGAATATTCATTTTGGGCACAAATTGCCGAAGTCCCTCTTGAAACCTGCATCCACACTTTCTCTCTCCCAAGACTTATCTTGTATGTTAAATAAATACATGTTAATATTACACAGGAGTTATAACTCATTAATGTTTTATAATAAGCCTCTGTCATTAGTGATCTCCTTAGGCAAGATGTGAGGGGAGAACTGGCGAGGTCACTGAAGAGATTTGAGCCTTTGTAACGTGTGGCTGCATCTAGACTGGCATGATTTTGCGGAAATACTTTTAACGGAAAAGTTTTTCCGTTAAAAGTATTTCTGCAAAAGAGCGTCTAGATTGGCATGGATGTTTTTGCGCAAAAAGTGCTTTTCCACAAAAGCATCCGTGCCCAGTATAGACGTGCTTTCGCGCAAGAAAGCTCCGATGGCCATTTTAGCTATCGGGCTTTCTTGCGCAAAAAATTAAGGTGCCTGTCTACACTGGCTCTCTTGCGCAAGTATTCTTGCGCAAGAGGGCTTATCCCTGAGTGGGAGCGTCAAAGTATTTGCGCAAGAAACACTGAATTCTTATATTAGAACGTCAGTGTTCTTGCGCAAATTCAAGCGGCCAGTGTGGACAGCTGGCAAGTTTTTGCGCAAAAGCAGCTGCTTTTGTGCAAAATCTTGCCAGTCTAGACACACCCTGTATGTTTATTAACCGAATACCTTTCTGAAGACTGCCAGGACATCTATCAGTTTGAAATGTGGATATTAGAGCCATGATTGAAAATGCTCTATGTTATCAACAGGCTGCTTGAATTGACTCTCTGATTAAACTGGACCATAATCTGAATTAGTGGAAACTGTAAACAAATATTATTTTCCAGTCTAAATATAGCTCATCATTTTCTCCAGAGATTTGAAGCTGGATGATTGTAGACAAACAATTGTCTTCCTTTTGTATCTAAGACAGCCCTACTCAACTACAGAAACCCCAGAAAAATACTCATAGCACATGCTGAGGGCCACAACTTAAGTGTGGTTGCATATACATGCAAATAGCGTCTTTCACACATCTCCATTTCCATTTATCCCTGCAAAAATGAATTCCATCTCCCAAACAGGGTTGATCCTGTGTTCATCCAACAAGGGTCTCTTCTTTGTTGCCATTTTTAATGCTATTAAAAAGAAAATTGTATATTGGTGTTTAGCTTGAAGCTTCAGGTTTTGCATTTCTTGGAGTGATTTTACTGTAAAAAGAAGAGAGTTTCCAAGTCATGGGGCTCCAACCTGCGGTGGGCGGGGAGCTGGGAAAGTCAAGCTGGATACAAGAGGCAAAAGATCACAGGTGCCTGGGATTCCCAAGGACTGACGTCCCCACACGGGAGTCCGTCACTACATGTAGGACAGAGGCAGGGCTGCCTGGCTGCTGTGCCGGACTCAAATAATGGCTGTGTGAGCCTGTCAGCACCTCTCAGGCTCTGACCACAAGACTAAGCAGCAAGCACTTCCTACAATGCCCCTGTGCTCCCAGCACCTCCTCCGTGGGCTAGAAATGCCGACACCCTGTACTTGTCTGTTCCAGCCAGCCCCTCCGCTTGCGTCTTTCAATGCTCACCCCACCTGGGAGACACCTTGCTGTTGTGGAGCATGTTCCCGGTGGAGGCCATGTTCAAAGAATCCCACCTGTGGGCCGCATGTCCAGTCCCACGTAAACCCAAACAAATGGGCCGCATGTGGCCCATGTGTTAACCACCTCTTAGATCAGAGCTACTTATTAATCCAAACAGATGCATCTGTTTGTTAAACCACACATCCAACAGTATTGCTGCCTCCCAAAGGACTGAGCCTCCAGACAGAGCATCTGCAACAGAATTTTCCTTTCATGGAATAAAGTAACTGATTCGGAAATCAACAAGGCTGGTGACAGACTTTGCTGGGCCCTTGGCAATATGGGAGAGGTTCTGTTCCAAGGCTCCTGGAAGAGGCAGGGCCTCGGTTGGAAGGGGCAGGGCTTCTCCAGCCAGCCCTCAGTGCTGCCCAGACTGTGCTGCATGGCGCTCTGGTCATGATTTAAAGGGCTTTGATCTTCAGCTGCTACTGCTGCCATGGTAGTGGCAGTGGTAGCCTGGAACCTCTGGCCCTTTTAAATCACTAGGCCCTGGGGCAACTGTCCCCTCTGCTCCCTCCCTCCCCGTTGGTGACCTTAGAAATCAAACATCATGAGATAGTGAAAATAGACTCTTTAGTGACAATTCTGAAATAAAGGGATTTATAGTTTCCTATCATCAGTACATAAATTACCTTCATTCTGTTGTCTGGAAAAAAGGTAGGATACATGTTATCCCTGAAATGGCTATGCTACAGCACGAGTGACTTCACTAAAGCCACTCCAAACAATTAACCAGTTGGCAGTAGTTGGTTTCTGTTCTCCATTGTTTGTCCAAAATAATCCTTCTATTGGAAATAAAAGATACAGACATTCATGCAATGAGATAAATGAAAAAGTGAAGATGGTATTTTAAGACCATTCCTCCAATTGTAAAATGATTCCTTAAAGTAAGTTTGCCAGAATTCCCACTCCCTCAGAGTAAAAGTCATGGACAGGTCATGGGACTGTGACATTTTGTTTACTGCCCATGACCTGTCCATTTTTACTAAAATTCCTGTGACTAAATCACAGCTTTAATCACGAGTCTTGCAACAATCAAACAAAAAAGTAGAGTGGCTTAAAATAATGTGACTTTAAAAGAAAAAGAATCCCAATGTATTATTATTTGGGATTTTTGAGAATGTAGGGTTCTTGTTTTCAAGTTTTTTTCTTTAATTATGAGGATGTAGAAACTTTCTTTAAAAAGACTGAAGCAGGGATTCTCAAATAAGCACATGCCTGTAAAAGAAAATATCATGAGACATTGTAAAATATGGCAGCACTGGAAGCGCCTGCTACTCATACAGGTTGCAATTGAACCTTTCAGGGCACAGCACTTTTGAAAATCAGTCCCAACAAATCTCCAGATGGGCACATGAAATCAGAAGCCACTTTTGAAAAATCTTGGCCCATGTATTAGTGGAGAACTAATTAGTTTTCCACAGAAGGGAAGCCTGTTAAACTGAAATGAGAAAAATGTGACTGTTAAAGATTCAATACTCCTTTTCAATTAAAGCCAGCAGAAAAATCCAAATTAGCACCCCTGGCGAACTGACATCTAGGAAAACTAGGTGTATCAGTACTGCTATTTCTAAACTAAAACACTGAAAAGTAAAAGTTTTAAAAAGCAGTAACAGCAACCCCTCTCTCCCAGGCCTTTGTGTATCACAAAAGTAAAATCTTTTTTTTGCTAGGACACCTTTTTAAATGTCCTTACAAGAGAAGCTGCTGCATTTTCAGAATTGAAATCCAGGACTCTGGTGCAAATTACTTTTGTTTTCCCATAATAGATTCCCTGAAGTAGTATCAAATCTGGTAGCTGGAATGTGAGACTGTGGGGGCAGCTTGGCCCATTGTGGCCTGGCTATATACAGGCAATGACCAAGGGCTCTTAACTTTTCCAGACTTCTGTATCTCTTTCAGGAATCTGATTTATCTTGAGTACCCCAAACTTTCACCCCACTTAAAAGCTACTTGCTCATAAAATCAGACATAAAAAAATACAAAAGTATTCACAGTAATCTGTTACTGAAAAATAATTTTCATTTTCCCCATATAATTATAAGCCAATTGGAATATAACTTGTATTTACATTTCTGTGTATAGTATATAGAGCAATATAGCTAAGTCATTGTATAAAAGCGTCAGGGCGTAGCAAAGTTAGTTTGCACAGGATAAACTTAAAAAACAGCAAATAGTCTGGTAGAACTTTAAAGACTAGCAAACACGTGTAGATGGTATCATTGAGCTTTCCTGGGCACAGCCCACTTCTTGGATCGACTTGCTCTGTTGTAAAATTAGCTAAATATCTAGAGAACTCTGCATACCACCCGGGATAAACATACCTCTGGCCTAGGGCACTAGAATAATGACAATCACAGTGCAGCTGCCTGGGCTGAGGGTCATTGTTGGTTGACTCTAGAAAACTCTGCAGGCGGCTCATGCCTAGGAGCAATAAGCAAGTCACAAGACATCTCAGGGCCCTGCAGGGAAAAGTCGGCGGCGCAACAGCCGCTTCCCACTGGGACGCTCCGCTCTCTTGCTGATACCACTTTTGGAGTCCTCCCGTAGCTGCTGCTGCTGCGGAGACAGCAGGGCCCTCCCCCGGCTCAGGAAAGGGCGTGTAGGAAGCCGCGGGCGGGCAGCGCCTCCCGCCGAGGTGGGCGTGTTCGGCCAAACATTCAACGCATGGAAACTTCTCCGAGCCTGTCCGCGGCGCTGGGTCGGCGCTCTGCCCCTTCGCCCCCTGACTCTGCCTGGGCTGGGGACGTGGCTGGAGGCTCGCGGCTTGACTCCTCCTGAGCCCCCCGGGAACAGGCCCCATGACTCCGCCGCAAGGCAAAGGGGAGAAAGCCCGAGGTGGGCGTGTTCGGCCAAACATTCAACGCATGGAAACTTCTCCGAGCCTGTCCGCGGCGCTGGGTCGGCGCTCTGCCCCTTCGCCCCCTGACTCTGCCTGGGCTGGGGACGTGGCTGGAGGCTCGCGGCTTGACTCCTCCTGAGCCCCCCGGGAACAGGCCCCATGACTCCGCCGCAAGGCAAAGGGGAGAAAGCGACCCCACCGCCTTAGCCGGGGGCAGGCCCCGGGAGAGGGGGGAGGGTCGAGCGGGGACGCTATGCCATGGAAGGCCGGGACTCCGGGCTAGTGGGCTTGGAGCAGGGGCTAGGGCTTTTCGGGGGCCGCCAGCAAGAGGGGACGGCCCGGGTGCTACCGCGG